AGGGACATACTCAGGAAAACATAAAAGATAAGCCAGGCTACTCCAGTGAACCAGGACCTTAAATACCTCTCCTAAAGGCAAAAAGAATCCAGCACCTTTGCTGAGTAATGAGGACCATGCTGGGGTCACGGCCATTGGCACTGACTGGAAATTCTCTTGACTCCTGAGATAGACCCATTAGATGACACAGAGATTTCCAAACCGAGACCAGGCAGGGCTCATGTCCATAACCAGCAGGAAGTAATTACAGAAGATGTGATGAATCTTCATCCTTCAGCAGTCCTTAAGATTAAGGTCAGAACTATCTGAGGGAGGATGAAAAGGAATAGGCAGGTAACTGCTTAGGCTCAACGTTGGAAACCACTTACTCCTCCCCGACATTGTCATCCTATCCACCTGTCTGTCAATCAGATGACCCCTTCCCCACAGGTACTTCCCTCACTGGGACTTGGATGTGGTATCAGGTAACCACTACCTTTTCCAGGCATGAAGTGGCACGCTTCTGGGATGCTGGGCCACAGGTGAGAGTTACCTTACTCCACCACAGTGACAGCCCCTGGAATGGGTTCTTAAGTCAGATATGCAGGGTTCGGGGCGCTCACTGGTAGGATACTGCCCACTGGACTGTTAGTTCTCAGCTGGGGGGCAGGGTAGCTGCTCTCACCTGCATACATCCTCATAATAGCCCTGTGAGAATCAGTGACTGAAGGCAAAGTAACTGTGGTAGATGCCCACATATGGTGGACTGTGAGCTCACTGGAGTGTTGCATGGGATTATGTGATTTGACAACCCACATGGCGTCAGTTCATCTTGGTGAGATGCAGAGCCCCACCCAGCAGGCCAGCTAGAGTCACCGTGATGTGTCAAGCTCAGTGACTTGTGTGGCCTTTTTCCGTGAGGACATACATCCCTGTGTTGATGAACGGAACTCTATGTCCAGAGGTCCTGAGCAAAGGACATTCATTGTTTCATTGATCTTTGCAGTCCTGGGCACAATATTATCCGCCATTAGTGGGTTGAGGAAAATGGAACAAGGATGTCGAACCATGATGAGGCACAGAGCTTGTCATGGTCAAAGCCAAGATGCCAGTTCCAGCCTAAGCAGAGTGCATGGATTTCTGCCCAGTCCTGCTCTTGGTGGAGGGCCTGACCATCGCTAACCAGAGGAAATAAGTGGCCCCTCTCCCAGATCCTCGGCTGCTTCAGGACACCAGAAGCACATGAGACCTCAGAGCTGAGTCCCTGAGATACCCCAAGACCAGCTTGGGGTCTGCTCAGTCCTTGCATCCTGCCATTTTCATCTTATTTGTCCTTCCTCTTTGGGCTCATTTTACTAAGGGGGTTTGGGTGTTCTTCCCCTAAGATCTCTGGAATGTTCTGGAAGTGTCAGAGAAGAACTTGAAGATCACCATCAGGCAGAGAATGTGGATCCTCAGGTAAGCCAGCTGCATCTGTGCTAAACCTGATGGAATGGATTCTGTTTATGTGTTACCAAAAAGACAGCATCACACAAATTTCATTTGAGGAGCTCATTGCAGTTCTAGAATTGAGCAGCACTTCAATGAATGCTGCAACCACCAGAGCAGAAGGGGTTGGTTTCGTAGACAGAAGGAACAGATAAGTCACTTCAGAATTGCTTGTCTTATAAGGTGCACCCTGGGAGACAGAGTAATGGCCCACTGATGGACAGTGAAATAGTGAAATCTTACACTGGTCCACCTGGCACAATGGGCAGGGCTGGGCCAGAACAAAGCTAGGAGCCTGAAGCTCCATCTGGGCCTCCCACATGAGTGCCAGGGGCCCAGGTACTTGGGCTCCTTACAAAAGCTTTAAGCAGTCTTCCCAGGCACACCAGCGGGGACCTTGGTCACTGGCAGAGCAGCACCCTTGTGGGAGACCTGATGAAGCTTCTGGCTCTTAAAAACAAAACATTATGGGCTGGCATAGTGGCATGGCGCGCTAGTCTTTCACCTGTGGCACTGGCATCAGACATGGACACCAGTTCATGTCCCAGCTGTTCCTTTTCTGCCCCAGTCCCTGCTGATGGCCTGGGAAAGCAGCAGAGGATGCAACTGTGAGGAGTGAACCAGTGAATGGAAATTGTGTCTCTTCCTCTCTTTCTCACTGTGATTTTTCTTTCTTTTATTAAAGATTTATTTCTTTTTCTTAAAAGGCAGATTTATAGAGAGATGGAGAGACAGGAGAAAAGATCTTCCATCTGCTGGCTCACTCCCCAAATGGCTGTAATGGCCGGACCTGAGGTTATCTGAAGCCAGGTCACAAGCAGGGAGCTGGAAGGGAAGTGGAGCAAGCTGGTCGTGAAATGATTCCTACATGGGATCCCAGCTGTTGCAAGGTGAGGATTTAGTCATCATAGTGGGCCCAGCCACTCCCCCCAACTTTTTTTTTTCAAGAAACTACCAACTTCTTTCCCTCCTTTCTCCTTTTCTATTTGCCTTCTTTCTTTCCTTTTTCCCTTTATTTTTCTTAGGACATTGTAACAGATGAACTTGTTCCTGCCAACCAAACATTAGCCCTACAGAATGGGACATTAGTGCCAGCACATCCCTGCCATGATCAGCTTTATTCGTGGTCCCACTGATGGCTTTGTTACAGTTTGGAGCTCCTGCCTTCCTGTTGGCTTCTGATGCCACAGGATCTCTCATCTCAGGGACCAGATCTTTGGGATGTGCTCTGACCTCAGTGTACACAGCTGCATGTGGGACACTGCCTTAGCAGGCTCTTCTGCAAGAGAGAGGAACTTTCTCAGGAAAACATAAAAGATAAGCCAGGCTACTCCAGTGAACCAGGACCTTAAATACCTCTCCTAAAGGCAAAAAGAATCCAGCACCTTTGCTGAGTAATGAGGACCATGCTGGGGTCACAGCCATTGGCACTGACTGGAAATTCTCTGACTCCTGAGATAGACCCATTAGATGACACAGAGATTTCCAAACCCAGACCAGGCAGGCTCATGTCCATAACCAGCAGGAAGTAATTACAGAAGATGTGATGAATCTTTTTTTTCTTTTTAAATTTTATTTTGGCACTCTTTACATTGTTGATTAGGGTAAAAAGTTACAAGGGCTAAAGGGAATATTGAGGAGAAGCCCCACCCAGTCTCCCACCCACCCCAGGTCCCAGATGTAGGGCATAATCCGAGATCCTTGCTCAAGTGGTCCCAGTAGTGCACCAGTTATGCATTGATGCCAGTCTTGCCACTCCACACACGATGAGGCTGTTGAATAATGTACTGATTGACATAGCCCATCATAGAGTCTCCCTTCATCCAGTGTTTCGCTGCCAACATGTAGCTGTGGTGGTTGATTGACCTGTTGTATCTTCCGTCTTATTCTTGGTTAAGGTTCTGAGTCCACCATTTTAGTTGAGGGGATCCCCAAAGAAACTTTGAGGTGTTCCCAGACTATAAGCACTAGCAAGTACAGGACCTGGCAGAGTCTACCTCCCCGATCAGCTGGTGGTTGTAATTGCTGGGCTGGTTCTGTCTTCAGCCCTGACTTCTACTGGAACCAATGGGTCTGCCCCATATCCCATTTGGCTCTCATAAATGTCGAAGGGTATTGGAGCTTAGTTCCATCCAACCAGCTAAACTGTCCAGCCCTCACGGATGTCGTTGAGTGCCTCTCTGTCTAGCCACCCCAGCCTCTGTCCTAGTTATTTTGTGCCCTCCCATAGGATTGGTAACCCAAGAGGAAGGAGCCCACTATTTCCTTCCCAGGTCACTCTCACTCCCGGATTATGCTCTCTCCAGGTGGCCCTGTGGTTGGACTTGACAGTATTAGCCCCTAGTGCCAGCTTCTGCTCTGGTTAAGCCCTGACAGTTCTCGCCCCCTCTAGTTTTGTTAGCACTAGTAGGAATAGTCCGTCCATCCTTGCTCTTCCCTGATCTGGTCCCCATGAGGTGCACATGTGCTGCAGCCCTGCCTAGTCTGGTCTATCCGCATCCCAGCTCATGCTCTCCAGTGGGAGTAGCTATCCAGCAAGGGAACCACCCCTTACTCCCCTGCCGGGTCTGCCCCTCCCTTCCTTTTCTCATGTGTGCTGGTTTTGGTGCTGTGGTCACATCCAGCACAGGCAGCCTCACCTTGGCATTCTGAGTTGTGTGCTGCTTTTGTCACGACTGAACCTGGCTCGACCCACACTCTGCTCCGGCGTTCGGGTTTGCCAGTGGATGATACGAGCTGTTTCAGCCTGGTCTGCCCCTAACCCATGCCAAGTGTATGCCAGTGGGACACTTTCCATGACCTCTTCTGGGCTGTTTCCTTCCATGCTTCTTGGGCTTATTTATGGGATCCATGTCCTGTCAGAGGAATTACTCAGGCTCCTCCCTCAGATCCCCTCCTGATGCAGGTTTCGCGCTTACCAGTGGGTCCATGGGCCAGCACTATGCAGTTCACCTCCTGTCCTAGCAAGAGCAGTGGCTTTTCTTAACTGGCCTTCCACCCATTCTGGTTCTTGCTGTTGGATGTTTCAGCCCAACCACGGCTCGTCCTTACCCACATATAGCACTTACATGGCTCAGTTGGGGTTGAAACCCAGCCTAGTCCGTCCCACATCTGCCCTGGTCCTCCAAGACACCAGAAGGTGTTGCAGTCTGACCTGGCCCAGTACATCAAGTCCCAGTCCACACTTGTGCCAAGGGAGGCTACAACTGTATCCCGACCAGAACGCAGCCCATTCCAGCCTGTGCGCCTCATCCTTCAGCAATCCTTAAGATTAAGGTCAGAACTATCTGAGGGAGGATGAAATGGAATAGGCAGGTAACTGCTTAAGCTCACAAGTTGAAACTACATACACCTGCACACCTCCTCTACACTATGTCTTCCTATCTACCTGCCTGTCCATCAGATGATCCCTTCACCACAGGTACTTCCTCTCACTGGGACTTGGAGGTGGTATCAGGTAACCACTACCTGTTCCAGGTTCCTAGGAAGCCAGGCAATGAGGAGGGGCACTCTCTGTCTTCCCATGGACACAGGATGGAAATTTTCTACCAGCTGTGAGAATTATAATCAAACCAGAATATGATAGGACGACAGACCAATCACACTGGTACTTCTGAGATCCAGATCACACCCCAGCATTCTGCATCAAAAACCAGGCTAATGTGCTATAGCACTCTGCTCCTGGCTCGGGGAGGCAATGGAGGGTGGCCCAAGTGCATGGCCCCCTGCCACCCTCATGGGAGAACCATATGAAGCTCCTTGCCCCTGACTTAATCCTGGCTGAGTCCTGACTATTATGGCCATGTGTGCAGTGAACCACCAGAGGGAACAAATCTCTCCCTACTCTCTCTCTGACTTGCAAGTAAGTAAATAAGAAAAGAACCAACTAATCCTGAAACTTATATAGAAATACAAAAGACAAGGAATCATCTAATTAGTGTTGATAAAAATCAAAGTTGGAGGATTTATACAGTGTGATATAAAGATTGACTAAAAAAGACCAGCACCATGGCAAAGTAGGCTAAGCCTCAGCAGCGGTGGCATCCTATATGAGCACCAGTTCATGTCCCGGCTGCTTCACTTTCCACCCGGCTCCCTGCCTATGACATGTGAAAGTGGCTACCTGGTTCCCTGCACTACATGGGAAACCCAGAAGAGGCTCCTAGCTCCCGGCTTTGGAGCAGCTCAGTCCCAGCCATTAGAGCCATTTGGGGAATGAATCAGCACATCGAAGGTCTGTTTCTCTCTGTGACTCTGATCTTCAAGTGAAAATAAATATAAATCCTTGGGCACAGAATGATGGTTCAGTGGCTGAATCCTCGCCCCACACACATTGGATTCCACATGGATGCCAGTTCGTGTCCTGGCTGCTCCACTTTCCATTAAATCCCTGCTTATGCCCTGGGAAAGCAGTAGAGGATGGCTCAAAGCCTTAGGATGTCCAGAGGAAGGTCCTGGCTCCTGGCTTTGGGTTGGCTTAGCTCTAGCCATTGCAACCATGCAGGGAGGGAACGAGCAGATGGAAAATCTTTCTCTTTTTTAAAGATTTGTTTTTATTATGTTTTTTACTGGAAAGGTGGATATACAGAGAGGAGAGACAGAGAGGAAGATCTTCCGTCCCATGATTCACTCCCCAAGTGAGCACAACAGCCGCTGCTATGCCAATCCGAAGCCAGGAGACTCTTCCGGGTCTCCCACGCGGGTGCAGGGTCCCAAAGCCTTGGGCCGTCCTCGACTGCTTTCCTGGGCCACAGGCAGGGAGCTGGAAGGGAAGCGGGGCTGCAGGGATAGAACCTGCGCCCATATGGGATCCTGGGTGTGCAAGGCGAGGACCTTAACCACTTGCACCACCGCGCCGAGCCTTGTCTCCACACTTTCTAAACATTTGCATCTACAGCGCCACGAGTATCTCTGTGCCTTTGTTGTCTGTGTGGGGTCACTGGGTCAGGGAACATGGACATTCGGGGGTTCTGCTGCCTCTCCAAGGCCTCGCCAGCAGGCACCATCCCTGAGCCCTGGGTGTAAGAGCTGCAGTCAAAGGGCTTGCTTTCCTGTTTTTCCCAACACAGCCCTCTGAGAGCCGCTGGCTGAAGTTTCTGCACAAGGACTCCCCGGAACTGGAGCTGGGAGGAGGAGTGTGTTTCCATGGACAGTCCTCATCCGACATGGGGGAGTCAGACCCTCCCTTCAGTCAGGAGCTGCCCAGAAAAAGGTGCCAGGCTGTACCCAGTGCCCTCCAGGAGGCTCAGGTGGGGACTGATGAGACAGGCGCTGCTTGCTGACACAGGGATGCTGGCTGAACTCTGTGAGCAGCTCAGACGGTGACCTCAAGGGGTAGGGGCTTAGGGGTGTTGACCGGGACAGGAGGTTTACACTGGTGAAGCAGATACTGCAGACTGCACAGGAGCTCAGCTCTCTGCAGACACCGCCTGAGGCGCCATGGGAGGTAGGTGGACCAGCCATGGGGCAGAGCTGCCTGGCAAGCACAGGACAGCCCATCTGCCATTGGGCTGCAGCTGAGTGGCTGCATGGAGGCTCCCTACCTCCTGTGGCCAGCCAGGGTGCCAGGGAGGCTGCGGGGCACTGTGCTGGCAGGACTGGACTATCCACAGCACTTTCCTGGCTAGTAGGATGGGCCCGGCTCGGTGGCGCAGTGGTTTAGGTCCTCGCCTTGCACACCCAGGATCACATTCAGGCGCTGGTTCTATCCCGGCAGCCCCGCTTCCCTTCTAGCCACGGTGCCTCCAGAGAGCTGGGTTGGGTAGCTGTGTGTCCACCCTGAGGTCCAGACAGCTTGCCTGCCATGCATTTCCTACCCAAGACAGTGTGGCCTTGCTCAGGAGCCACAGCAGGGGTCAGGGGGTCCTGGCCAGGCTAGGTTCCAACGTGTGGCCTTAAACAAGCCAGGTTACCTGGGCCGCTGCACACACAGCCACAGCAGACCCCTCCTGGCTCTCCTGAGACTCCATCCTTTGGTCTCATTCTTCGTGGCCAGGACAAGCACACCATCCCTCCAATTGGATACATAAAGGGGCTCCCTGCCCATGGTGCCCCAAAAGATAGCCCGGCACCTTCCATGTGCAGAGCCTAATGCGAGGGAGGGCCTGAGGCCTGAGGGGAGCTCCCTGACTTGCCAGGGTACCTGCTGCGGCACACTCTATCCTCCTGGAGGGTCTGCCATAACTATGAGTGGTCTCCATGTCTGACCCCTTCCCCACACAGATGTCTGGACAATGTGGTCAATGAGCAGAGTACTTCCCCACCAGTGCCACATCTCCATGCCTTGCTGGCCAGTGGAGACGAGCCTCCCACACAGACAGACATCTTTGACCTCCTCAAAGCCTCCTATGAGGTCAGCACTCCGTGGGGAGGTGTGGGAGGTGACAGCCCTGCACCCCGTGGCTGTGCATTGTCTCACCTAATCATCCCCACCTGCCTGCAGAAATTCAGCAGCCTGTGGGCCAGCGACACTGAGCAGATGCGGTTTAAACAGGCTGAAAGTGATCCAGTCCTTGGAGGACACAGCCAAGAGGAGCGTGGTATGTGGGCGTGGGGGGCTCCCACTCAGGCCTGTCTGTGAGGCAGGACGCACACTCCCCTGCTGCCTCACCACCAGTGTCAGCATTAGGATGTGTGGGACCAGGCAGGGGCATGGCGGGGAGAGGACATGGTCGTTTTATTCTGCTCCCAGATGGGCCAGTGCGAAGCCTGTCTGAAGCCCCGTTCCCCCAAGGCATAGCACCCTCTGTCTCCCAAGCTCTCCCACATGTCCCCTCCCCTCGCCCGGAGCATCCCACAGCTGCCCTCTGAGCACCTGCGTGCCGTGCCTCTGCCTCCAGCCTTCATCCTCCGCATCCCTGGATGGGTGCAGGTGCCCCTGCCACAGGATCTACTCGTGGTCTCTTGACTGCCAACCTCGTTCCCACTTCCCCAGTGCCCCCCACAAACCTTTCAGACACTCTGAGGTCACAAGTGACCGAAACGGATGGCTCCAGCTGACTGAGCGCAGCTGGCTGGTGGTTTCAGGACCCCTTCCCAAGAGCTGGCACCTGGGTCACAGCAGAGGTCCAGACAGGAGGAACTAAACAATGTCCCATGTCCCCCACTCTCAGCCCACTAGGGCACAGACCTCAGGGAGCTTGCACTGAGTGGCGGGCTGGGTGGTGAGAGGCCAGCAGGGCAAGGCCCTGCCCTCAGTGGGATGGCCGACTTGCCACACTGAGGGGCAGCTCGTGCCTTTGCCCTGGTCCCTGTGACAATCTGTCTCCTGCTGCAACAGGCACTTGAGAGTCCCTCAGCCCAGCCTGTCTCTTTCTTCTAGGTCTGAGCCATACCTGGGGACACTGGCTTCTCCACTGAAGAGCTGGAAGACCTTTACATGGTGTTTAAGGTGAGAGCCGAGAACAGGGACGGGACCTGTAACTGTGACCTTGTCTTCCAAAAGCATCCTCAGCACAGAGGTTCCTGCCGGAAGAGAAGGGGTTTGGAAGCATGCGCGCATGCACTTGCTGTGAAGTCTAAGTGGTAGAAGTTAAGCCTTGTTGGAGTTTAGGCAGAACACTCCCTTAGAAAGCACAAGGCAGCTTACAGCAGAAGTTCATGGGCTCAAGGAACTGCAGAGTTGAGGGAGACAGTGTCAGGCCTGGCTGGATCCAGGGACTCAGATGCAGTGTTGTACACTCTCTCACCCTCTGATGTTCTCTGAACTGCGCTTCCTGCAGAGTCCATGGCTGTCTGCAGCTCCAGGGACACGCTATCCACTCAGTAGCCCCAGGACAAGGGAACCTTTCTTCCAAATGATCAGACTGACTCAACTTAGGTACTGGATTCAAGTTAGGTTGGCGTTGACTGTTAGGCAAAAAAGAAAAAAAAAAATTAAGATTTATACTCTAGTGGCTAAATTGTATGCACACCTTCTCACATTGTATGCACTGGGATCCTATGTGGGTGCTGGTTTATATCCTGGCTGTTCCATTTCCCTTCGAGCTCCCTGCTTCTGGCTTGGGAAAAGCAGTCAAGGATGGCCCAAGGCCTTGGGACCCTGCAGCCACATGGGAGACATGGAAGAGGCTCCTGGCTCCTGCCCTCTGATCAGCTTAGCTCCAGCCAGGGAACCAATGGATGGAAGATCTTTTTCTCTCTTTCCTTCTCTCTGGTAAATCTGCCTTTCTATTTAAAAGATATACACATCTTAAAACTGTTCTAAAACAAAAGTGAGTGCCTCCAGGGGCCTGACCCTGCCTTGGCCTTTTCCCGTGATATCCCTGGCCAGTCTGTCCTTCCCTCCCTGTGGGACCGGGGCAGCTGGCCGCAGGGAAGGCTTAGCTGGCCTGGCAATACTCTGAGGAAGCCTGGGACTGGCTCCTGGACCCTCTGCAGCTGTGAGGAGGTCCTGTCCCAGCCCCCTGGAGCCTGCACCGTCCTGGGGAGCCCCTCATCATGCCCTCCTCCTGGCCTTCTCCCACAGGTGGGATGTACCACGGGCACATGACTGAAAAGCTCAAGGTGCTCTACAAGCTGCACCTTCCCCCAGGTGAGCACGTGCCCCCACACCCCTGGATTGTATGAGGCACTGATTGCACTTTAACCTGAAAGACACTGGGTGTTTACAAACTCACCTAAGAATCAGAAAGGACTTGATGACACAGCTGGCGGCCACTCTGTGCTGTGACATCACATGGCAGGCCCAAAGGGGAAACAAATAGTGTGTGTGTCGAAGGACCCACAGGTCCTGCTGACCGTGAAGGCTTAGCTCACAGACCCGGAGGGCCTTGGCTTCCAGTAACAGGCCAAAGCAGCAGGTGTGCTTCCTGTTACACACGGACCCTGGGCAACCTGGGAAGCTTTAAGCTTGTGCTGTGTGCTTCTGGGTGTAGAACCCTGACCTCAGACCCCACAGCACCCCAGGCCCTGCACTGTCACCCACGCTCACTGAGGCAGTTGAGGGCTGGGCTACTTCTGTCCTCGCCTGTCTTCTGGCAGCAGGCCTGGGAGACCAGGGCAGCTTGTTCCTCCCCAGGTTCATGTTCACACGTGAACCGCACAGTGTGGTCCTCCTCCAGCGGATGTGCTGAGCACAGGGTTCATGTCTGTCAAGTTCCTTCCCTCCTGTTAAGCTGTCATAGGTGTGATCCCACGAACGTGACTTTTTCCTAACGAAACCACAGGATTCATCAGTTCTCAGGCTTGTCCATCACACCGCATTGCTGTTTCATATGGGGGAGACTTGTAGTCCGCTGGAAAAAGAAAAAAAAAAAAAAAGCAAACACGGAGCTACTGCTGCTTTCAGTGATCAAGTGGGGAAATGCCCAGGCCCTCCTTGACCGTTGTGCCGGAGGGCAGAGCCCAGGGTCAGGCCAAAGCAGGAGGCTCCGTGCAGGGAACCAGAACCCGGGGCTGCTCCCGCACAAGCACAGGCTGGACCTCGGCAGAGGTGGGCTGCAGTCCCAGCTGGAGAACAATGTGCTCCATGTTGTTATTTCCTGGTTGGCAGAGGCACTACCACAGGAAGATCGGGAAGGAAGCAGAAGCGAGGATACCCAAGAAAAGCGAGCAGGTACAGGCCATTCTCAGGGTCTCAGGGCTGAGGTCTGGGGTTTCATGTGGGCTGTGTCCATCCCCAGTCACTTCTGCAAAGCTCCCCCACTGCCTGGCCCCCAGTTGACAGGCATACCCTGAAGGTCAGTGACATTGGCTGGAGGCCCTGCTGTCCCCTGTGGTGCCTGGTGTCCCCTGTGAAGTTCTCACCTCCTCAGGCCAACCTCTCACAGCCTAGAACACAGCCTCAGGACCATCCTCATCCTATTGAGCCATCCCTTCTTCCAGGCATTCTCCCCATCAGCACCTCCCCAGATGCAGATGCTTTGTAACAGGGCCCATCCCACCCCCTGACCCCAAGCTCAAGCCCTCTTTCTGTCATGGCAGGCCGAGATTAATGTTTTTTCCTCCTGACTCACAGAGGAGAAGGGGACCAGCCCCCCAGACTACCGACACTACCTTCGCATGTGGGCCAAGGAGAGAGAGGCTCAGAATGAGACCATCAAGGATCTGCCCCAAATGAACCAGGTGGGCCAGGCAGGAGGCTGCAGCAGACACCTCTGCAGAACCCTGAGGGACACCGGGGCCCAGCATGCCATGTCAGCACCACGCCCCAGGGTCCACACAGGGTGGCACTCATCACTCACTAGCTCAATTCAGCGCCCAGGAGTCCCAGTGAGGATTCTGGAAAGTCAGGAGCTTGTTGCTCAGGGGCCATTTGCACAGGGACCACTTGTTCAGGTGGAGGGACAGTGGTAGGTCTGAGCAGCCCTGGGGAAGGTTACCCCACAGCTGCTTCCTCACACTCCCTGCCCAGGCACCCTGTGCACATAGGCTTGTCTGCTCTCCACTTCCTGCTCTATGCGGACAGGAGCTTCTTTGTCTTCCCAAGGGTCTCCCAGGCAGGAAGGGGCAACCCCTGGGTTCAGCTGCAGAAAGTAGCCAGAGGCAGTCCCTGAACTACAGCCTGCCCTTAGTGCTTGGGCTGGGCTGGCCCTGGCTATGCCCAGAGGGGCCCTGTGAGCCTAAGCCTTCTCCAGCCTGAGGAATGGGTGGTCTCACCCCTCTCTCAGGCCAGGATGTGGTTTAGAGACCCAAGACCACCCTCACCCCCTCAGCAGCACCCTCTGCGAGCTTCCCTGAAGGTCAGAGTTGAAAGTGCTTTCACTCAGGAGCTAGAAGGCCAAGGGTGAGGCCAGACCCCAGGGAGGAAGCCATGGTCAAGGCTGGGTTCACACAGCCATGCATCTCCAACAGCAGAACCACATGTCGGGGGAGAGAGCCCAGCTCAGAGCTGCTGTCCACTGCAGGGGGAGAGCCCGGCAGCGCAGAGTGACTGCTTAGGTCCCTCCCGACTCTGAGCCTCCACATTCCCGTGTGTGAAGTAAGACTAGAGCACTGGTCTGGCACCGATAAACAGGACCACATCCTGGCACCAGTCCCAGTGGCCAGCAGCATGCGTGGAGTGAACACCAGGGCCATCTTACCATCTCCTTGTTCTGCCTTCCCCCTTGATAGGAGCAATTCATTGAGCTGTGCAAGACTCTATACAACATGTTCAGTGAGGACCCCCTGAGGCAGGACATGTACCACGCCATTGCCACAGTGGCCAGCCTCCTCCGCATCGGCGAGGTGGGGAAGTTCTTCAGTCCCAGTGTCAAGAAGCCCACGGGTGGCACTCCCAGCAGGGACCAGGGCAGTTCCACCGAGGATGAGTCCCCACTACCAGCAAGGGAAACCCCTCAGGCTCAGTACAGGAGCTCCAGCCGCCAGCCATGGGGCATCCCCAGTCACCTGCAAGGGAACCCCTCAGAACCCAGTACAGGAGTGCCAGATACGGGGGCTCCTCAGTCACCTGCAAGGGAATCCCGTCAGGCCCCAGTACAGGAATGCCAGCCGACAGCCACGGGGGACCCCTGGACCAAAGCTGGTGGAGACACCCACCTTGGAAAAGTGCCACAGGAGAGACAGATGGTGGTAGAGGGGGGCAGTGGAGAGGGGCAGGGCTCACCCTCCCAGCTCCTGTCTGACGATGAAACCAAATACAACATATCCATGTCCTCCTACTCAGTGGTCAGCATGGGCTCCCTGCAGTGTGAGAACCCCACAGCCACTGCCCGCATTGGGAACACCATGGAGCAGACTGGTGCATCTCCTTCAAGCAGATCCTGGCCTCCATCCTGCCGGAGTCTGTGCTGGTCAACTTCTTTGAGAAAAGGGTGGACATTGGACTCAAGATGAAGGACCAGAAGAAAGTAGAGAGGCAGTTGAGTGCCTCCAGTGAGCACGAGCCATCTGTTGCTCTGGGCTGAGCCCCTTGGCTGAGTGATTCTGGCCGAGGCCTCTGTCCCTCCCTCCTTCCCTTTGCAGTTTCTCATTAAAGACACAGCCCTCCTGCTCCCCCTTGGAAGCAGTGAGTTGTAAGTGAAAGGAAGGCTGATGCCAACACAGCTGCCTTAGAAAGAGTCTCTGGGTCTGCATCCCCTAGCACAGGCCAGTCCTGGGAACCAAGAATAAGTGGCAGCTCCTCCATTCCTCTCTGCCTGTGGCCTAGGAAGGCAGGAGAGGACAGCCCAAAGCCTTGAGACCCTGCACCCATGTAGGAGACTTGGAAGAAGCTCCTGCCTTCTGGCTTTGCATTGGCTCAGCTCTGGATATTGCGGCACTTGTTGAATAATCCAGTGCTCTCACTAGGGGAGTGAATCATCAGATGGCAGATCTTCCCCTCTGTCTCTCCTCCTCTCTGTATATCTGACTTTCCAATAAATAAATAAATAGTTTTTTAAAAGAAAAGAAAATCATGATTAGGTGTACATTGTTGATCATTATTTATGGTTAATAGTATTTATACTTATCTTTAACCTGAAAATAGGAAAGCAAATGAGAAATGACTCAAAACAGTAAGGAAATCTAATACAGTGGGTGCAAACAAAACTAACACAATCTCCACAAGTTAATCTGCCTTTTATATAACAAACAACTAGTTACATGGAAGACCCAGAAGAGCTCGTGGCTTCAGCCGGCTTGCCTGGCACAGCTGCTGCAGCCAGATGGGAAAGGAAGCAGCAGATGGTAATCTGTGTCTCCCTCCTTCTGTCACTCTGCCTGGTAAAGCCACAAAACAGCAGCTTTGAGCTCTGTCTCACTCAGCCTTTCCAGAAGTAGTCATTTCTGGAAATCTGCAGATGTGGCTCTGGCACAATGGCTCAACTGGCTAATCCTTCACCTCCAACTGTAGCATCCAAGTGGGTGCTAGTTCATGTTCCAGCTGATTCACTTGCCATCTAGCTTCAGGCTAATGGCTTGGGAATGCAGTAGAGGATGGCCCATAGCCTGGGGCCCCTGCACCCATGTGGGAGACCTGCAGGAGGCTCCTGGCTCTAGACTGGCTCAGTTCTAGCCATTGCAGCCATTTGGGGAGTAAGCAGTGGATGGAAGAGCTTTGTCTCTTCTCTCTAGAAATCTGATTTTCCAATAAAGTAAACTTTTAAAAAACCTGCATATGCGTAACTACTGGAATTGAACTCACTGGGGAGCAAGTGAGAGATGGTATGTCATGTAAGATCTTTACAGCTGAATGCTTCTGTCTGCCATCTATTAGATGATGAAACAATTTGATCTTTCCAGAGCTCAGCATTCTAGGCTCTGTAAGAGGGAAATGCTCCTGAATTCAGGGGAGGGGCTCTTGCAAAGAAATGGGAGAATGCCCGTGATGCAGATCTACGGCTGCGTTATCCTCCTCTGGGTTCGAATCCTTTTTCAGAGTTGAAAATGACCATGAGAACTGCACTACATTATCCACGTGCAGCAACTTAAAGATGCAAATAATTTCCATTCCACCAACTCTCAGAATACACTGAAATAGGGAAGTAATACATGGGCTCAGCTCAGGCCGTTGCTATTTGGGGAGTGCACCAGTGGAATTTCTCTCTCTCCTCTAGGAAACTCTTGTTTTTCAAATAAAAATAAAGCGGCTTTTAAAACGATGTGTTTCTTTTGGGCCCAGTGTGATAGCATAGTGATTAAAGTCCTCACCTTGCACGTACAGAGATCCCATATGGTAGCTGGTTCTAATCGCAGCAGCCCTGCTTCCCATCCAGCTCCCTGCTTGTGGCCGCAGAGGGCAGAAGAGGATGGCCCAAGTCCTTGGGACCCTGCACCCAGGTAGGAGACGCACAATAGCTCCTGGCTCCTGGTTTTGCACTGGCTCAGCTCTGGCTGTTACGGTCGCTTGAGGAGTGAATCATCAGACAAAGGGTCTTCCTCTCTGTCTCTCTTCCTCTCTGTAGATCCTTTTGAAAAGACGCATTTATTTTTGTTTTAAAGGCAGATCTACAGAGACAAGCAGGGACGGAAAGAAAGATCTTCCATCTGCTAGTTCATTCCTCAAGTGGCCACAACTGAACTCATCTGAAATTAGTAGCCAAGAACTTCTTCCGGGTCTCCCACATGGGTGCCAGGTCCCAAGGCTTTGGGTCATCCTCAACTATTTTCCCAGGCCACAAGCAGGGAGCTGGACAAGAAGTGGAGCAGCCAGGACTACAACTGGTGTCCAAAAGGGATCCTGGTGAGTGTAAGACCAGGACTTTCATCAACAGGCTACTGCGCCAGGCCCATAAATAAAACTTTAAGAAGAAGAAAATTAAAAATCTCTTGAGGCCCTAAAGTAGTTCTTATCTAAAATGCCTAGCCTTTAATGCTAACAGATACCCACTCAATAGCTGCATCTGGGGGGCAGGGTAAGAGCTGTTTCTCTCAAGAGACTGGCATCATGGGGAGAGCATTTGATACAAAAAGTGCTTTTACCCCCAAAGTCTACTGGCTGTTTAACACACATCTTACAGAAGTCAGTCTTACAGACGCCAGGACACAGCCGACCAGCACAGGACCAAGAAGGGGTGTCCTTTAGAAGGACACAGGCAGCGCCAGCCGGCAGGAGAGGACAAGCTGTGAGGCTGGTTGGGGCACAGGTGGAAGCAGAGCCCCAGGATGTGGTGACAGGACGCCCATGGCGGGGAGGGGTGCTTCTCCCATGAGAAGCCTGAGGGGCACTGCGGGGTCCCGGGATGCCACCCCCACCCCGCCTGGGTCCCACAAGGTTCCCCAAATGTCACTAGACTTCACCAGAGCCCGCCTCTGCAGAAGCCACTACTCCCCCAAACCTACACCAGAGAGGCCGGGACGACGCCGGAGGGACGCGACCCCACACCACACCTGCCACCCGCGGGAGGCCGGCGCCCAGCCCACCTGGTGCGCTTGGAAGAGGCCGCAGCTGCAGCACCTGAGGACGCGGCAGCGCTGAGGCGGCGCCATGGGGCCTCCCACCCAGAGCCTCCCGCTCCCGCGCTCCCCTGCGCCCTCTTCCGGCCGTGCGCCTGCGCGCTCTGCCGGCCCGCCCCGCCCCCACAGGCCTCTGCTGGCCCAGGGGCGCCATCCCCACTTGAGGGGATCCGGAGGTTGTGGCTGCCCCAGCTGCACTTAGGGCCTTGGGTCGCAGTCAGCCGTTCACGGACTTGGCGGCTCTCCCAGGGCATTTCCTCCGGGTCGCGGTTGCCCATTGCTGTCCTCTGCGCAGGATCGCCAGGGAACAGAAGAGCCGGGAAGGCTCCCCACACTGCGTCCAGAGACCCCTGAGGATGGAAACCCACACCGGGCACCTTGGAAAGGATGGGGCTACTTAGATAGGACAGTGGAAAATTTCCCAACGCTTAGCCCTTTGAAGAGTCTCCTCTGAGTCCCCTCAGCGCATGCTGCTGCCAGAAGAAAACAAAAATGGGGGACAAAACCAAAAACATCAGAAAGCAGCCTGGACATCCACTGATTCCTAGGGCGGGAACCCTAAACCTAAACCCAAGCCCAGCCCCAACCCCAAACCTAACCTTTGTCATTTGTGAGCTTGCAGCTCAGCCCCTGGGCCACAGCACTGAATTAGGCCACATTCTTGCAGAACCCTCCTCAAGGTGTAGGTTTCTTTGAGAAAAGACCCTGAATTGTTACTTAGAACTACAGGGAAACAAAAGCTTGATTTGGACCAGGAGGATGGTTATTAATTAGAAGGTCTCCTAAAATAGCTTAGTTCTCCGAACTTGCCAGGTAGGGGCCATCACTCCTACTCCATCTTTCTCATCCCTGTTGTTAGACAAAGGAAATGTGGCCTGGGGGAGAGTGGACTGCAATATTCCTGTGCTGGGAATCTTTGTAACAAGCAGGTGAGCCTCAGCCAATGACATCAGCCCAGATTCTCTTCCTGGCAGACAGCTAAAAGTTTCCAGGAAGACAGGCAACTTTGTAACAAGCAGGTGAAGCTGTTTTTGTTCCTCCCTTCTCTTTGCTTTCCACAAAGAGTGTGCTGAGGTCTTAGAGCTGGTGCTTCACCCTTTTTAAAAAACTGCCTCATTCAACTTGTCTACTGTTTTTTTTTTTCCTTTTCACACCAACTTAATATTAAAAATGTGTTTTCATTTTGTGTAGAATTGATTTACATCTTAAAGAATCTAATACAGGTTAGTTGAAATGGCAATTCTTATATACACTGGCAAATCATATCATGTTTTAGGTTTAGGATATTGCCCTTAAGTCACTATCAAGCAAAGGTTTGTTTTGGTGCAGCAAGTGAAGCCACCATTGAGATGCCTGCATCCCATCTCGAGAGTCCCATTGGAGTCCCCGCTACTCCTCTTCTGATTCAGCTTCTTACCAAGGCATCCTGGGAGGCAATGGATGATGGTTCAGGTGCTTGGACACCTGCAACCCCTGTGGGAAATTCAGAGGGACTTCCAGGTTCCCTGCTTTGGCTACACCCACTCTGGGGAATTAATCAGCAAGCAGGAGATATCTTTCTGTCTCTCTCTGCCCTTCAACTCAATGAAAATAATAAGCAATATAAAAAAGTTCATTCTGAATTTGAATAAAGAAGAAAGTATAGGTTTAAAGACTCACACAAACACATAAATATCAGTGATACGAGTTTTGTGTAAGGACTTACTGCATCAGTTTTAAAAGGTTGTTCTTTTGGGGGCCTGGTGTGGCAGTCTAACAGGTAAAGTCCTTGTCTTGCATGTGCCAGGATCACATACCGGTGACAATTCACATCCCAGCAGCCCCGCTTCCAGTCCAGCTCCCTGCTTGCAGCCTGGGAAGGCAGTTGGATACTGCTCAAAGCCTTGGCACCCTGCATCTGCCTGGGAGACCCCGAGGAGGCTCTTGGCTCCTGGCTTTGGATCTGCTCAGCTCTGGCTGTTGCAGCTGCTTGAGGAATGAATCAATGGATGGGAGATCTTTCTGCGTGTCTCTGTTCTTCTCTGTATTATCTGACTCACCCACCCCCAAAAAAGTTGTTTTTTCAGTTTTCTGTTTTATGCACCCTTGGTAGTTTCTGAGAAATCTATGGAAATTTTCAGTAAAGCAAACTCCCCATGGCAGGCTGCTTAGGCTAACACTGTGTCCTTGCTGTGGGTGGAGTTTGTGTCCACTCTAGGTGGAAGCTCACTTTGTCTTGATCAATAGGGGGAGGCTGCAGTTAACAGCCCTAGGTCTGTGTTTTTTTGATCATTTGT